AGACTGTTCTTAAAACATGACCCCTTTTCCTGCCTATAGACAAGGCATAAATTTAATCTGGTCTGAGAGGTTACAAATCATGCTTTGAGGGGGCAAGATGAAGGAATGTGTTATTTTGAGGAATTAGTATTCCATGTTTGCATTTCATTAGCACTTAGAGGCCCCAGTCAAGACCAGGATCTGGGGACATGTGACACAATGGATGGGTGCAACAGTGAGAAAGTAACTGGAGGGAGCCTTAATTTTGGAAGACGTCACAGAGGGCTTTTCCTGGTGCATCAGAGGAGGGCACCCCATGCAAGCAAGGCATCATGGAAGAAAGAAAAAGAAGCAGTCATGCTGGTGATTAATGACAAAGGAAAGAAGGAGTATGAGAGACATCAGCTGTACAGGCGGATGAGATTTTGATGGAGTAAAAGGGAGGACTTAAACATCCCAGTCACTCTCTTGTGTCTCATTGAAGCATAACAGCTAAAGCCACTCTGAAAATGCTGCCAGTTAAGGTGGCCCATTCTTGCAAGTGCTTAGTGCTAAAAATGCACTTTTACTTGGAAGATGATGGGAAACACATGAAAATAAAATGTGACAGGGACTACTTAATCCTTATTCTCAGAAAGAGGAACTAAAAATGTATAAGTAGTATTTGTTGATAGCAGGTCTGCTAAAAACGTTTTCTTTGGAATCTGTGTGTGCAGCAAATGTAGAACATCATGCATTGCCTACTATAAATATGCCCCTTGGATGACAGCGTTAGAAATGGCTTTGAAAATCAGGCAGCCTTTGTTTAACTGTGTGTAGCTTTCTAGTCAACTCCAGTGGAATCAGGCAGTAGATAAAAGTATTGTTGCACCTCGGAGTAGAAGCTATCTTTCAGAAATAAAAATATTGCGGTTTGTTCAGCACTGCAACAACATTTCTTACTTCTGTATGTCTGCAGATGGCTAAACAAAAACCATGCAGTTATCTTCCCCAGTCTTTACAGATGACAGATAAGTCACTTCAGTTAGTTTAGCCATGTAAAAAATCAGGGGCATATTCTCAAGACCTTAAGCTTGCTTTGCAGCCACTGTTCCACCCATTCTCAGAATAAGTTGGGCTGCCTACTGTGAGCAGGGTAGAGCTCACAACTAAAGATTGAGAGGTTACAACTAAACAATTCCGTTTTAGTCAGGTAGAATCAAATGAAATTAATAACCTGTGTGAATTGCCAGAAGTCACACAGTTAATCAGTGACATGGTTCCTGAGCTGAGTACTGACTGGTGTCCAGGATTCATGCATAACTACTCTGTTTTGGCAAAATTTAGACCAAAGCTTATGCAAACCAGAGGGCAACTAAATACTTCCTTGACAGGCACGGCATGGGCAAATCCTAGGGCAAGGATTTCTCATCCTACCCTAACAGTTGCGTTAAGGGTTAATAACTAAATTCTGGTCCTGCCTTCTCCAGGTACTTCTAAATACAGCAGGGAGCAAGCTAAGAAACTGCAGGCTCAGTGGTACTTCAATTTAGTAGCTATTTAGACACGTAATGGTGTCTAGCAGCATTTGTAGCCCAAAATTGTTAAAACTTCATGCAGATGAGGCTGTTTGCAGAAGATGCTAGGCTGGACTCTGTACCAAAGACTCCGGTGGACATGAGGGTAGCAATCATACATGCAACAGGAAAGGACCCTCCAGTCTCCCTGTCCTCTCCCTACAGAGTCAAGAGTCAAACGAGAGCAGTCACAGCTCTTGCCTATGAGCAGAGAAAGAGGCATTCAGTATGCAGCCAGTCACCATCTCCCTGGGGAAAAGGCAGTGGCTGGATCGAGGGGTTCAGTCCCAAGGGGCTGGCTCAGCACGAGGCTTCAGGTTAAGCTCCACTGAGAAATACCTACTTCAAAGCAATGCCAGGAACAAACCTCATCAAGGGCCTCATTTTATTGGGCACTATATCTGCAGTCCGTAATGACTTTCACACCCTGCAATCACTTGAATGCAATTAATGCAATTTAAGTACCTATACATAAATTACACATTTTTACTGAAACACAGATAAATGTTGCAGAAATTTAGGTCACTTGATAGATAGGGCTGGTGAAATCCTACCTTGCTCTCTGACTGGCTGTGGGGTAGTGTATCTCTGAGGTATGCATTTAAACTTCCCTTCCTGTGTCGATCAACAAAATACAGGGTCAGGTAATTAGTGCTTGTGGTAGCAGCAGATAGAGAGATCAAAGGACTTGCCAGATCCTCCCTGGCCATAATTCTTCCCTCAAAAACCCTTGCCACTCAGGAAGAAAAATCTAAGCCATTCTGATCCATATTTTCACGCTTGTCTTTTCCAGCCACTTCCACATCTACAACTGGGACAAGTCATCTCACGAAATGTGACATAAAGCAGAAAGCCTTCTGTGTAAATGGGGGAGAATGTTACATGGTTAAAGACCTCCCAAACCCGCCCAGATACCTGTGCAGGTAAGAAATCGTATTTGCTTACTTTAATGGAGCCACCAAGTTCCAGAAATGCTTTTTCTTTAAAGGAGCACCTGAACAATTTATTTCTTCTCCTGTACTTGCAGCATTAGATACGTCTTCATTTTTAAGTATGTGAAAGTGAAATAACCTACCAAGAATTACCTCTGTCTTCTATATATGAGACATAACAGAGGCTAACTGGGACATCTTCCCCATATGATAAGGGCACAGCAAGACCCATTGGTGTTTACATGGCATGAAGTAACACAACTTGAGCCTAATGTTACAAATCATGACACAGATACTGTGAACTATATTTACTACAAATAGCAAGAAAAGCTGTGTGGATAAATGCATTGGATAAGTACCATTTATCAAGGACAAACTGGTAATTTTCATTGTCTGCTGCAGCAGCTGAACACTTTCTGATGAGACCAGATTCACAACTGGAGTTTTTGCTATTGTGTTTAATTGTATAAAAAAAATAACATCATGGTAATATATGGAGGTTTCTATTTTGTGTGAGGATCTTGATTCAAGAAGTCTTGTAAGTTTAATTTTAAAGGTGTGCTTGTGCACCTTTCTCAAGTCCTGACCTGTGCTGTATCAGGCTGTTGCAGAACCCGCTTATGTTGGAGAACACCCATGAAGAGCTACAGCACTGGAGTTCACCTCCTGCGTAGTAGTGTATGATGTAGCACTTGCCTCTGGACTTGAACTTGTTACTGCATCTCTCTTGCTTGAGAGGGAGCTCAGCATTTATACCTTGGGAAACATCCATGGGACCTAGCAGGACTGATCAGAAAAGGGCCACCTGTGAGGATATGGCTTTTTTCAGACAATGACAGTGGTCAGTAAAGACCCTCATTTGCTGTATCAGCATAGATTTTTCTGTCTTCCATGACAAAAAGAATCAAACAGCACTTATTGTAAAGATGACTCTGGTGGGTTAGTTAGATGAAGGTCTATGACGGTTTGTTTCATTAGGCCAGGAAGGCACAGACTGCTTGTCTCTGTTGTGAATAAGGAAAACAAACACAAAACCCAAGAAACACCCAATGCCACAATGTTCTGCTTTACTTGTGTTTTCTTTTTCTGTAGAATGATATGTACCTGTACCTCATGAGCTTTGTTTTGGTCTGTTTTATCACAGATTGCACTGTTGCTGAAAGTGATGAATATTTCATTGATTTTAGAATAATTTTTAGCTAAAGTGAATATGGAAAAGTTACTGGTTCTGGTTTTGAGAGAGAAAGATTTGTGTTACATTTACATGATCATTATAAGCCAGCAGTACAAGATGAGCAGTTTGCTATTACTCTCCAGGGCATGTATGAGACTCAACCTGCCTGTTTCAACTTCCTATCCAAACACTACTCAGAAATTTCAAGGCAGCAGACCTGAGCATCTAGCAGACTTGCTAATAATAAGCATTGTCTTGACAGTTTCAGAGGCATCCCATTTTCACTGGTGTGGGGACTTTTGTTTTTACTAAAGTTCAGAGACCTGACTGTGTTTGTTCTTTGATGCTACAGATTGGCTAAGTTTTTAATTAAATGTCTTGGAGATATTTGAATGAATTGGGGATTTTTCTCACTCTTCTGGACAATAAATAACCTTTAATTCTGAGGCAGGACTTGAAAGAAACGGCAATTCCCAAAGTTGGCACATGCACCTCTCTCTGTGTGGCCCAAGACCTATTTGGAAAAAGCATCAGAACTGTAAAATCAGAGAGGGCGTATCTCAGTTACACTAAAGCACTGGAAAAGGATTCTTACCCTGAGGACAGTCAGGGCAACGTATGCCCTTTATGTTGCATAGCAAAACAGGATGCAATATAGCTAAGTAAGAAACAAAAGTATGAGTATTTGAAAGTGGATGAACTGGAAAACTGAAGAGGCAAAATACAGTTCTCTTCTTATTTCATTAAAAATACAGATGTCTACTTTTAATTCCAGTATTCCAGTGTTAATTAAAATAAGTATATAACCAGTACACATTGCCTTCATTGTTCTGAGAAAATAAATCTTCCCCCTGAACATGCTTGTGGAAGCAGAATGCTTGAAATATGGTACTTGCTCTTCATATTTCTGCCTCAGTAGCAAGTTCACATTTTTCCATATGGCCCATCTGTTGAGAGCAAAAACAAAATTTCTAAAGCATGAGCCATATCATTCTAAATTGGTTTTATCCCCAACCAAAAAAACATGACTCAGATTCACAACAACCATGGAATTTTCCAAGTGATATCTGTGGCTTTGTTAAAAAAAAAAAAAAAAAAAAATTCCTAAATACATCTTCTCTTAAAATGTATTTAATGTATTTTTAAAAGTTTTAAAAATGTTTTTAGTGAAATGCTTTTAGTGAAATGATCCTGACTGGATCAGATCTTGCTTTCATGGATACTGGTGTGAACTTCCCTGAGAAAATTCCCTGCTTTCAGAGGCAACCATGTGAATAAATACTCAAGAAATCTGAAGACTTAATAATGCGTTGTACAGCCACATTGATGGTAGCATGTATATTCTTTACAAGCATTTTAATTATGGTCCCAGACTGAGCAAAGCAGTCTCAAAGTACGGAATCCTTAAGACTACTTAAATAAACCAGTGTATAGAATTTTCACTATTTTCATAGGAACATGAATCGTGTTTTGAAAACATGATAGACTTTGGAAACCTGGACATTACTGTCTTCCTATGAGACTGAGGTTCCTAAGTTGAAAATGTCTCCCCAGCTTCACTGAAGACAAGAAAATCAGACAGTTTCTTCAATAAATACAAAGTTGATCCCAAGAATTCCTAGCATTTGCTTCTTACTGAAGAAAAATCTATATTAATATAATATGTTACGCTTTTAGAGTGTTCTTTTGAACTATCCTACCATGAAGGCCCTGCTGGTCTGACTAATTGATTCTTTACTCACAGAGATCATCTTTTCTAGTGCTTTTGCTGTTACTGAAGAAATGAATTTAAGTCCAAATTTCACTGGATGAAAATAAAGGCTCTCTCTGGTGAAGAATGCCTCTTCTTAACAGTAGAAGAGTGAATTACATACTTTTAATTATACAGTCAGTTTCTATATCTGTTTTCATGTGAAGGCCTTGGTGAAATAGAAATTGACCAACTTGCTGGAAAACAGCAAAAGAAGATTTGTTTCCATGAAGCTAGCAAAAGTTGCAGAGATATTTTTTCAACAGGCACAATAGAAATACTAGTTCTGGTTTAGGATATGAAATAGGCTACTAAATATAGACTGTACTGTACCTCCCAATTAAAAAGATAATAATAAATAAATAGATTAATAATAATAATAATAATTTTTAAAATCCCATAATGCATTTGCTTATAGGCAGTGGACAAAATGGAAAGTCAGGTCCTGATCCATTTAGCCATTCCTTTTCTGCTGAAAACCAGTTCAATGATACATGTTCAGTGTTCTGAGTGATGCCTTCTGAATGCACGCAAATACTGCTCTTTGAAGCTACTTACGTGGAGGAAAAAAGCAAGATTTTAGTATATTTGGTTTAGTATTGTGGTTTCATCCACTGAATACAACAAATTAGTGTTCCAAGTAGCCTTTCTTTAGACAGAAAGGAAATTATAAGGCTCTCCCATCAAAAATGGCTACTTCTGTAAAGCAGCTCTGTTGCCCCAAGTTGCTTGACTGCATTTTGCTAGTGTCATAAAAGAAAATGGTACATGGTTGATGAACTAGAAAGGCACAACAAGAAATAATGTCCGCAAACTTTAAGTAGAACAAGGTGCTTTAGAAACAACACCATCACAAGCTGTTTGTAAAAACACCATCTGCCGTAAACAACCAACAATCAGCACTGGAAACAATCCTTCACTGCATTTCTGAGCAGTAAAATGACTTGAGCCTTCACACAATCACAAGCAGACAGGCTCATCTCAACTCTCTTCTCAGCTGACCCACCCTCGACCAGTTCTCAGCAGCAGGTGCTGCAGTCCATTTGCTGGCAATAGTTTCAGACCAAGTATAAACACACCTGCACTGCTTTCAGCACCATCTCAACAGAGCTGACCCTGCTTGGTCTGGAAGTGATTTTGGCATTGTCTGCACCAGTTGTCTGCTCGAGTTGTTTTCGTCACCTCCACAGCTGCACCGACATCTGAAAACAAGCATGGGTGAAACAAGCAGCCACCACTGGCCAGTGGCAGGAGCAAAGCCTGAGGCTTTTAATCAGCAGCATGTTGGGATTGTGTAGGGTTAAGCCTGATGAACAAGATGTAGAAGGGAAATTAAGCCAATGCAGGTGTAAATGCCAGATTTCCAGGGACAGGTATTGAACAAAATCACCATAGTGCAAAATAAAACTGAAATAATGGTGGATAAAACATTTTTACTCTCATTCAGTGACACGGATAAAATGTCTTTTATCAAAGGCATTTTGCCTTCTATCAAAGGCATGAAAAATCTTCTATCATGCTCAGCAATATCACTTTTTCATGGCAGAGTTATCTTTGTTACATTTTTCTCAGCTGACTGTTATTATGGAGACTGGGATCTCTCTACACTGGCTACTTGGCTCTGAAGAATACAAACTCCCTTCCTTCATAAACAAACACATCATTACAGCAAATCCGCTCCAAACAATCTTCTGCAGATTCTAAAAATATATTATTATTATATAAAAATAATTTCTTTGTATTTTATTTGAACAAGATACTCATGTTTATGCCTGATAATGGCCTTCTGCCAAAGTGGTTTTCTGGAAGTCCCACTTGTAGAAGGGCAGCATCACTGACCCTTAGGGCTACAAGTCATTCTAGAAGAATGGAATTTTAAAAATCAAGACAGCTTTCAGTGCACATGAAGCTCAAGTGGCTAGAAGAGGTGGAAGATTGTTCTGAACACCTTGCATTTGCAAATAAGAAGGCTCTTTGGCCCCTGGCAAGTAAATGATGAAGCAGTTTGAAATGGAGGCTAGCACCAGATCAGCAGCAGAAGAGGGGGAGCTTCCTGCACCATGGGAGACTCATAGGGAGCATCAGAGGGACAAGCAACACAAATGAGATGTATTGAAGGAAGCAAATATCAGTTAATTTCAGGTCACATGCTGATTATGAGTCAACAGAAGAAGGAGGAGGAAAAAAGACTGAAATATATAGATGTTTAGTGTGGTCATTCATACTTATGTCTGAAGCACAGAAGCCTGCATTGCTAATCATGATATTTTGGGAGCAAGTGCCTGAGCTCTGCCTCAAAATGGAGACTGAAGGTGAAGGAAAAATTGACAGCCAGCAGCAGAAGAGAAGGCAGTCAAAGCATGGAAGAGAAATTCCTTTACTAGAACTAAGAGGCAAGCTGCACTGAAGTTTTCCACGGAAGAGGTTATGAAATGAAAGGGCAACAGTTGCAGGGCTTCAAATTTTGAGAGCACCTCTGCCCTCTCATCTTACTTACTGACTGGATTGGCTATTTTCCCGTTTCTCAGCCATTTTTAATATACTTCCTGCCTTTGGGTTTGAGTTTGTCTTCTCACTTTTTGGAATTCTTTTGGTTTTTCTGTGGTTGCTTCTTTAACTGTTCCCCTTCAAAGAAAAGTACCGGAAGACACAACATTCCATTACAGAAATAGGGAAATTATGGTATTTTCATAGATTTTATGTGTCTGGTGAAAGCAACAGTGTAAATTGCTGTTACACACTGCTTTGCAAATTTAAAAAAAATTCAATCTGGTCCCTTCATGAGGTGGAATAAACAATGAACCAATGCACATTTTTGCTAGCCCTGGTTATTCTTTATTTTTCAAAACAGACAAACAAAAAGACTTCCTAGATTTTTCTCTGGTGGATTTTTGCTGTAATTTTTTCCAAGTATTATCTTCTGGAAAGGTTACACTTTCTTGCCTCTTTTCTGATCATTTTTTACTAACACCTAACCAGGAGGTCACTTAATGCACTCCCATCTCCATAGGCCAGCAGATGTCAGTCTGTTAGTGCAGTGGTTTTGGTGTACTATTGCTTATCACGTTTTTGCCCTTTAGGTGCCAACCTGGATTCACTGGAGCAAGATGTACTGAAACTCTGCCCATGAAAATCCAAAACCAAGAAAGTATGTTAAATAATCTGAACTTTGCTTTCTTCCCCAACTACAGCAACAAAATCAATAGTACTTGGTGTTTTCACAGTTCAGCTGGAACCGGCCTCTTTACTCGCTAATTTATGACTTGATTCTCCAAAGTAAAACTTGTGCACCATGGCATTATTGACCTCCAAAATGTTTCTCATTTGTGTGATTTTTGATCTTTCCATCCATTTGCAGATGCATTTGTATTGCACACACTGGCAGCTTTCTTGTTTGGGAGACTGCTGTAAAGTGCAACCCTAAAAGGGCAAACTCATGGAGATGAGGGATGTACAGATCTTGTGTCCTCGCTGCCTTGTGGAAAGTGCATCCTAAAAGCAATTTGGGAATTCGGAATGGTGAATTTCTCTCTTACATCTTGAAACACACTTTGATCTGGTTTGGTTTTGGCTGGTTTTTCAGGGGGAGGGATTTCTTTTCATTTCCACAGAGCAAACGAGTTGCTCTCAGCACCTTGAGCCATTTTGACACGCTAAACCGAGATTCAGTTTCTGAAAGTGAACTCACCAAGTCATATCAGTTCACACTGAAGGAGCTTCTTTCTTAGCATATGTTCACCTCTTCTCTTTTCTCTGTTTTTTTTTTCTCTACCATTTTTTTGTTTTTGTTTTTGTTTTCCTCTCAGGTGCCCAAATGAATTTACTGGTGATCGCTGCCAAAACTACGTAATGGCCAGCTTCTACAGTACGTCCACTACCTTTCTGTCTGTGCCGCAGTAGGAGCATGCTCAGTCGGTGCTGCTTTTCTTGTTGCTGCATCTCTCCTCCAGTTTTTTATTTTTTTTTAATTTTTATTTTTTTTTTTTTTAATCTGTAACTAGATTTGTTGCCTAAGGCCTAATATTGATTGTCTCTGCCTGCTGCATGAAAATGATAACAAAAAGCAATTGCGATACTCTCCTGGATTGTTTGGCGTTGAGGTGATGGGGAAATGCAAGACTTAGGAATGCTGTGAGATTAACACTGAATGGTTTGGTACCAATTCCCCCCTGACACCAAGCACTAAAGGTGCAAAAATGATATTTTGAAAGTCTCAAGTTTTATTTGCTATAAAAAGTCTCTATACAGGGCAGTACTCCTCCAGTAGAGGGACAGTTAGCTAATCCTCTACTTCTACATTTGTGTAGGTTTGTGTTCAGACCTACAAGTTAAATGTAATTGACATGCTTATATTGTTTCTAATGGGCACCTACCAAACAACAGTGTGTTCTTCCTCTCATTGTCCAAGTTTCAGGGGAAATTTCAAGTGCAGAAAGAAAAAAGAAAAGGAGGGGGGGGGTAGGCAACATGAACAGTGGGGTCTGACATACTTATTTGTGAGTAACAGGTGCAAAAAATCAAACCTTTCAGATCCAGATTCATTGGCCAAAGAAATGTTCCAGACACATACATGCACAAACACACAGGACTGTCTGTGTGTCAGACTGCTGGTAGAATCAGCACTTCAGTCACTCTCACACAAGCTTTCCCATAGAGGGGTGTATTAATTACTATTACTTGTCAGAGAGGAAACAGAAAGTACACTGAATATTTATTTTCTCTCATTGGCTACAGTGAAGTCAAAGGTAAAATATAAGAAAATTGCTTAGATCTTACAGTTTAATATGTGTGTACTATTCATAATTAATTGTCGCTGGCATCAGAATGTAGTATGATCTAAGAGTGGTATTATAGGAACTATTCTTTTTATGGATTACTTGCCAGCACTGAAAGATTTCAGAGACTATAGTCTAGCTTAATTTAATTTCCATTAGTATATAGGACAGAAAGCTGTTAGCATGTGCTGGACATTTTGGAGCCTGAAGGGATGCATAGATTTTCTCTTACACTGATGGATGAAAAATGTCCATATATAATTCATACTGCCCATCATAGAAGCTACCCATGTAAATCCCAAGGGTGCTGACTGGAGACCAGACCTTCCAGCATTCAAGTTTGTATTTTATGCCCTGTTTTAAAAGCTTTATTAGTGTGAATTATTTTTAAAATGCCTCTGGTAACTATGGATTGGAAAATGTTTATGCTGTTAACAGTGTTTAAGTTTACCAAACGTTAGATTTAAATGGCCTTTTCAGTATATTGTGGTGAAAAGTGAAGTTACACTTTTCTGATCTGAGAAGTACAATTTAAAATAAAGTGGTATAAAAATATAAGATTAATTGTTTGCTTCAGAATTTATTCTGAAAATGATGGAAGAATTTTATGTTGATTATAAATTCATTTTCCTACCCAGGAAAAAAAAAAAAAAAAAAAAGTTTAGGGGTTTTTTCCTTCATTATTTTTTGTTTTCTAACTCTGGCTGGGATTTTTAAAGGAATATTTGGGCAGTACACACAAGCCTGGGGGTTTCTGAAGTTGCCTCCTTGGAAAGATATAGATCCCTTGCCTTGATGCAAGAATTATGCTGGGCTGTAAGTACTTCAGCTGGTCCAGCTCTTCTGTCCTTGAAAGGCACCAGCAGAGGAGCACACCACTCCCTACCTCAGCCTATGCTGAGAGCCCCAGGCAATGGCTGTGAGACTCTGGCACTTCTGCCCACCCTGTACCTGCAGGATAATGTCAGGTTCCTTAAGCTGCTACAGATATTAAAATTTTGGAGTCAAGTAAAGGTATGTTTATATTTAACAAAAAAAATAAATTAAAAAGCATTTATATGTCTTTATTATTACACCCAATGCAGATCAGAGCATGCAATTAAAAAGAGGACCTAAAATGGGAGTTATCTTCAGTCAAATGTTGCATTTGGGGCTTAAAGCCAAACTCTTGTTTTGCATCATGTTCCAAGTGATTAACTTAGCTCTGTAGATGCAGCATTTGCAAAGTACAGAGCAAATTGGGATGTTAAACAACATTAAGTGCCAGTAGGAAATAAAAGATGTGAACTTTACAGTGCTATCTTGTTTTACTTGCTTTCAGAAGGGTTTTTTTCTTCATTTGGAAAGAAAGGGACAATGAGGTTCCACACCAAGGGTAACTGCTGATGAGCTCTTACTGCCCTAAGACTCTGTATTTGCTTCAGACTCTGAAAGACTATGAAAAAGCTTCAGAAATCTGCCCTTAGAGTTGCTATTTGTAAGAGTCCTGAAGCTGTGAGCTTTGCTGAGGGCCTTCTGCAAGATCAAAACAAGGCTGATGCTGAGCATTTTGGAGGCCCCCCCACCCCAAAAGAGTGCAAGGCTAGCTGGCTTAAACTGGCAGTGGTTTGGTTAGCCCTGGAGGATTCAGTTATCAGAGTGCACTAGAAATATGTTGAAATGGGACATAGAAAACATTGTGGATCTCCATGTTAAGAAAAGTTCTTCCATAATAGTGTCTTTTCTTTCTGTCCTTTGAAATGTGAGCATAAATGGGAATGGATGTGAGGGACATTATTGGAAAGCACGTATTTAGGATGACTCTCCATTGGCTTCCAGCTTTGCAAACACACCAAACCATAGGACAGTGTGTTGTAGCTGTGAAGTGGTGACTATTAGATTCCCCTCTGTCACAGTCACCTCCGGCACTGCAGCCAGACAGTTTTTCCCCTTCAACTTGTGCTTGCTGCCACTGCAGACTACAGAAAACTAAATAACAAACTGTGCTAGTTTTGCTCATCTCTGGAGCCTGACTGGCAAACCCTGTAATGTCCTGTCCTTGAACACAGCAGTGATAGCTGTTGAAAGGTTTTTTTCCCAATACCCTGGGTTTTTATTGCAGCAGTTTTGACTTTGAGGCTTGTGGTCCAGTGTTGGCCCCTAAGACAGCAGAAGGTTGTCCAGAAAAGTGTTGCAAAAATACATCTGTTCCATGCAGATATATTTGCTGTATTTGAATGTTCAAACATTCACTTCCTTGAAAGCAAGGAAGCAAGGCAAATGGAGGAAAATAGAAGTAATGAATTAATAGTCAATATTTTGGCTAATTTTTATGTAACTATGCGTGAGAATCTTACAGCAACACTGTGCAGAATGATCCTTGGGATAAGATAAACTGGTGAAGTCTCAGAGTCATAGAAGGTTGAGGAAACTTCTCTAGAGTATAAACCCAGGTAAAATCTTTATCCTCCCAAGTCCCCAGGATGGGCCAAGGACCTCACCCAAAGGGCCAATTCACTAGTTAAGAATTACATACATATTGTGAATATAGAAGAATTTGTGGGGCATGCTGTGATCTGTCTCAGGCATGAATTGAATGTGGTCCCTGCCTTCCTGAAGGCAAGTGTTTAAGCATGGGATATGACTTTTAACTGTGTCTATTTCAGCTCTGCCATCCTTGGTGAGCAAGGTGGACAGTATTAAGAGTGGCAGAGGGATGACAACCCCTGCCTTGTATTGTCAAGATGAGTCTGGCTCAGAAGTCAACAGGGGCAAGAGCTTAGTAAAGCTATGATGTTCTAGAGGAATGATCAGAACTTCTGTTACTCTGTAACATCCTTGATTTCTCAGTCTTTCCACATAAACTCAACATCTCAGGTCCTCAGGCAGAGTTGGCTGACATCTAGGGGTTCTGCTCTGTGATAGTCTGGAGGATTTAAATTTGTTTTCAAATTCAAGTTAACATTTAAAAGAGACCTTTTTAGAATTTCTCATTACCTGCAGGACACATTTAATAAGAGAATGAAACAATTACTTAAGAAACATAGTACCTTGATACTTCACAGGTGAAACTGGTCTCCCTGAACCTCTCTGCTGCTGTATGCAATTGATCTGAATGGGTCCTTCCCTTGTCAGGTGCAAGATCTCCACAGAAACTTGCAACTGTGCTGCCCCACTCTGGGCAGCACCACATCCTCAGGCTGCTCACCCTCTGAGCTCTATAGAGTAGCCACCCCAAAATCTGAGGTGCCCAACAGCTGTGGCACACCAGTCATGAACACAGTATGCAGTCCTGAGGGACCTGTCTCAGCATCTCTAGGCATTGTGCTCTTCTCCTGTGGACCCTGTACCCCATCAAGCTATGATATATCCAATGAATTGTAGTTGTAAGTCACATTTTGGGAAAAAGCCTGCATCTCAAAGAATTTTTTCTTCCAATATTGCCCCCACAAAAATCACATTCAGAATGAAAACTGAGTTGTTAACAAAATTATTTGTACTTCATCTTAGAAATATTCTGGACAAATGTTCAGTAGAAACCACAATAATATTGGGTTAAATAAGAAAAGATGAAAAATAATGAGAAGTGTTGAGATATTCTACTTTTTAAAAAACTTTTTTATTTTACTTTTTTTATTTTACTTTTTTTTTTTTTTTAAATCAGGCCTAGGGAATGTAGCTAGGAATACCAAAAATATATAATAGCTACATGCTTCTACCTTTGAATAAGCAATGCATGTTTCTTCAGCATGTTTCCTTGTTAGGAGTTTCAGCCAGAATGTATTTCCATTTTAAGCACCAACTTCCCATTGAATTATTTGAAATAGAAGCTGCATGATATGAATTACTTCCCCTAAAATTAAATTACATCCAGGCTAGGCATCTCACCTATAAGCAAGCATAAATACAGCAATATATATGCATGGGCATGTCATTCATTTTATTGAAGACTTAACCAAGCTTTCTACGCAACTAATTTATATTGTTAGCAGTGTTCGTATAGGTATGTAGTACTGGCTCTTTAGGAAGATTTTTTCCTGAATGGGTTCCAACTTACCTAACCCTTAGAATGTTGCTGATTGGCAGGAAAGAATTTTAAGTCCTTGTGTGTACAAACTACATAAAATCTTTTTGGTGAGAAAATTAGAATTGGATTTAAATTTCACAGCATACAAGGACAAAGAAAGTGAGAGCTATTATTGTTATGCTTTTGGCCTGGTGGAAAAGGTCTCGTAGAGTACCTTCCAAGGAAAACCTGTGTTGCTCCTCAGACCCTACTGCTGGGGCCTGGGGATGCCAATTTAGGCATATGTTCTATGTAAACAGCATCAGCCCATGAACACCCCAGGGTGCATCCAGCCCTCCAGCAGCAGTTTTTGCCAAGGCAGTTCAGGCCAAAGGCAGAGAAAAAGGAGTTGTCTCCTCATTTTCCAGAAGCAAGACCCGTGGTTCAGTTGCTTTGCAGAGCCATGAAGGGCTCCCACTGCTGAGCAAGCAGTCCCATCCAGCTCCAGGCATCAAGCCACAGGAGTGAGGAGCCACATACTGGGGACAGGAGCAGGGCCAGAAAGGAGGGCAGTGCATGACCCGTTTGCAGCGAGATGCTGCCCCTTGTAAAGCATCCCTGTGCTCTCATGAGCCCATCAGAAAACAGTCAGCTGCTTCACATGGCATCCTCAGGCTATAGCCCCCTTCATCTCAGTTAAGATCTTTAAGGGTTGATGGTTCCTGCTGCGTTCCCTGCACTGTGACTGTTCACATCTCCCATACATATTTTGATGCGTAGGACTTGCAGAAGGTCTGGTCATCTAGCTTACAGAGGTGCACTTCACCACTGCCCACATAATCATATGCCCCTTTGTCCTGTTCTATGTGCAGACACAGAATAGCTGTAATTCTCATATGTGATTTGTTTTTGAGTACAGTGTATTGCTCTTTTCTGAAACTTTTTCCTTTTTTCTTTCTTTTTTTTTTGTCAACTTTCTGCATTGGCAGAGCATCTTGGGATTGAATTTATGGGTATGGACCAATAATTCCTTTTAGCCTGCAGATTTTAGAGCCTGAGAAATTAAACCCCTTTTTATTTTTTTTTCTCCACCTCCCCTTTTCAATTCCTAACCAATTTCTTTATGCTTTAGAAGGGATCATACAGCTATAACAACAGCCCTTGTCAAAGGAGATCAGCTCACTCAAATGGTAATAGTGATAAGATATTCCAGACCTAAGGAGCTCTAAGAATTACAGAAGTAATCATAACAGAGTGTATATTCATTTTCTACTGTGTAATTTTGACCAGTTTTGACAATTGCTTTTGCTAGGTTCTTCTAGGGTTGCTGGATTTTGGAAACACTGTAGAGAGTGATGAAAATTACTAACTAGTCTATAAAAAAAGATGAGGTGCTAGAGCCACCTAAAATTCTGCAAATTTAGTTTCTTGTACTCTGGTTTCCAAGCAAAGTCTTATGTCTAAACCCAGAGCTAGGTATGTAAATCAGGTTCATATACATATATGTAAATGATGTGCATATATGCATTCATTTCTAAGCCTATAAATTAGATGTGAACTGGCAGTTATTTTGGAACTTCAGTAGAGGTTTACAGCTAGACTCCTATCCTCAAGTCAGTGAAGATATTCAGTATCTCTAATACTGAAGCTGTATGGTACCCAATCAAGAACACTGGCATTAAGTAGTATTTTTGCACTTCAGCTTAAATGTAATAGAAATAGATCTTACAAGTCTTCTTCACGAATAGACTGCACTTGTCTGACTAAAACTGAGTAGCCAGGGGTACAAATAATGGACCTCTTGAATAGGCTAAATCAGAATTCAGATCAGTTTTAGTTTGGAATCTCTTAAAATTGTCAGCAAATGAGAAGAATCAATCAGTTATGCTTTTCACACAGTTTCAGTTAATTCTCATTAAAAATGCTCCCATAAAATACCATTAACTTAAGCTGTGGATTGTGGAAAGCCCATTACAAATTTTAAAAAACTCTCACAATCCTGTTCATTGTTATTCTTATTATCACAAGATAATATTAATTTTCACTCATAAGTACTGGATTGTAGTAGAAGATATATAGCTACATTAACATATGAGAAATTAAATTAAAGTCCTTTAAAAAAAATTACTTGCAAATTTTGCTGTATCTAGGAAATTACATCAGCAGCACTATGTGTTGGAGTTAAGCTCTTCTAAAAATCCCCAGAGACCTATAAGAAGAAAAACTTTAAAACCGGGCAAATTTAAGACTGTATATATCATCAATTGTGTATAAATTAAGGTGATGTGAAATTAATTGTATAATGTGCATGTTTGAAAGGCTGCACATGGAGGGATTTAATATCATAAGTTTTATGTGATTTTCCTAGTATTCTGCAGGGGGGTAAAATGATTCAAACATTTTTTAATACTTAACAGGCTAAAACCTTTTCCAAATTCTCACTGCACGTACATTTCTCTACAGAGTTTTCCCCAAGACTGCTGTTAATTTTTTTTCAAGCTAGTTTGATGAGCGCTGCAAGCACAGCACATATAATTTGGCTAGGCATCATTAACTGGCTCTGTAATTGTTAACACATCAGAGAGAGAGGGCAGTTTGGGGGCAAGATCCAGTATAATGGAAAGTGCTCCACAGGAATTTGGTCACTGCTTTGCAAAACTCTTCTGGTTTGTCCTCAAGGCACCACGTAGAGCCTCAGCCAGAATGCACATCCTGTCTGGCCACCCCTGCAGGATATCCTGGCATCCCCCTTTGGCCCCTGCTCTCCTGGGCAGGTGGATCATGCCAGCCAGGAGCACAGCTAGGTTTATGTGGGAGCTTGCTGGTTTACTGGGAAAGGTGTGCCCAGACATGTGTGCCTTCCCCAGCAGCTGTCCCACCCACAGCTTGAAGGAGGCCATGGCAGCACCACCTACATGGATATGGTGTCAAACTGGATCATCCTAACGGCCTCATTTTGAAGGGCATGGGAGGGAAGTAGGGCAATGAAAGCACACCCAGGGGTTTACTTCATCATGCCCCTAAAGACCTACAGTCCCAGCAGATGTGCCAGTGAAAGGAGCATTGCTCAGCACTGCACCCATGGCCCTGCTGCCTTGCTGCACCCCACTGCACCTCAGAAGCATTTCACACATAGGCAACAAGCCTCAAACTATGGGCAGCATTAGCAAGGCCATCACCAGCCAGCTACCCAGCTTATTTGCAACAGCTTCAGCCTGGAGTAAACCTCCTGGAGACACTGCAATAGTTTGCTGAGTATAAACAACCAAGCGAAGTTTCCACTGTCAATCTTCTTCCTCTTCTGCATTCCCCTACAAGAAAAACAGGTTGATCTGTTCTTATTCATTTTGCTTTCACAAGCTGACAGCATGACCGACCAGAAAATATAAATAAATAATTCAAAGCATTTAAAATTTGCCCCTAAATTGCTTAGCACAATTCTCATGTTTCCTGTGACATTCTCATAATACACCATTTCCATGGCTAACTAATAAGCGCTTTTAGAAGGGGCAAAAATGGGAAGGGAATCAAGTGCCACTAACTAGCCTAGGTGAGGAGTTATGCTGTATGAGAAATCCTTTCACTCTCTGCTTCAGCCTTTTATTTTTTTGTCCCCAAGCATTTCTTCACTCTGTTTTTTTCCAGTATCAAGCATGCTGTGCCAGACCTGCAGTTGACTTCTCAACCCTTTAACCTTTTCACCTTATGTCACCTTCCCTTTTTTCTCTTTGTCCTGGTTTGGTTTGGAGTTTCAGCCCTTTCTTCTTCCCTTTTTTGACTTTCTGTTCTTAAAGTTACATTTTTTGTTTTCTTTAATACATTTTTGCAGCATCCTAGTTTTACCAAACTCACTCCTTCCCTGCCCCGCTCCTCCCCCTTTGTTAATAATCAGTGCTATTAATTTTATCTGACAGTACTCATGACCTGTTTGCTGGTGTTTTGGTTTACAGTGGGTTTGGCTTGTAGAAAAAATTTGTTCTATGGTAAGGTGCATTATATCAGAGAAATTAAGATTTCTTTTTGCTTTGTGGTTTGTTGCATGCAGTATTTGCCATTTGCCCACAACAACCTTAAAACTAAATTAGATAAGCCTGGGAAACAGTAGAGGGATGGCTACTCCCTCTTCAGCAGAGAGTATTTTCTCCTGAACTGGCATGGCATTTATGACAGCACTTTATATAAATGGCTAAGCTTGGACAAAGGCTCACAGCACGTCTGAGGGACTGTTGTGCCTCTGTACCTCCTGGTGAATTGCCCCACAGACCTTTTATGTGCAGGTAAGTCCC